AATCTTCTCTTTCTGGTGCTAATTATTTCTTAACCATTGTGGATGATTTTTCTCGCTTTACGTGGGTCTTCCTCATGAAACATAAATCCGACACTCAACAATTAATTAAGGATTTTTTTGCTTATGTCACTACCCAATTCCGCACTACCATCCAATGCATTCGTACTGACAATGGTGGTGAATTTTTATCTCTTCGTAGTTTTTTCTCTGATCATGGGGTGCTTTTACAAACTTCTTGTGTTTATACCCCTCAACAAAATGGAGTTGTTGAAAGAAAACATCGTCATCTTCTTGAAACCGCTCGCGCCCTTCGTTTTCAATCCCATCTTCCTATCAAGTTTTGGGGGGAATGTGTTCTTACCGCTACTTATCTCATCAATCGTCTCCCTACCCGTCTTCTCCATCATAAATCCCCATTTGAGGTTCTCTTTTCGAAAACCCCATCTTATGACCACTTCCGCGTCTTTGGTTGTCTGGCATATGCCACCTCTGTCACTCCCACCACCAAATTTTCCCCTCGGGCTCATCGTTGCATTTTTCTCGGTTATCCTCATGGACAAAAGGCCTATACCCTTTACGATCTCGACAATCACCGCATTTTCACTAGTCGAGACGTCATCTTTCACGAAAGTACTTTCCCTTATGCCGTTTCTCACCCTCCTATCCCATCCTCTTCGCCTACCCTACCCATCCCACCCCCTCTGGACTTTACATATAACCCACCCCTTCCTGCCCGGACGCCTCACCCTCCTCCACCTTCCTCCCCTTCCACGCCTCCCACAGATTCCCTTGCTGCCCCATTACCCGTTCCTCCCCATGCCCCTGCCCTCTCGGCATCCCCTCCTTCCCCCCCCCCGCTACTTCCTTACCTTTCACCCTTTTACCCACGGACATCCCTACCCCCCCCCCCCACTACCTACCAATCCTCCCCTTCCCCGCACCTCTTCCCGTGCCCATAAACCTCCATCCTATTTAAAAGACTACGTTTGCTCGCAGGGGATTCTGCCATCCCACCCATCTTCGACTTCGCAACCCGGTTCTACACAAGGTACGCGATATCCACTTTGTAATTTTCTCTCTTATCACCGTTATTCTCCCAGGCATTTTTCTTACATTAACTCTGTCAGTCGGGCTGTGGAGCCTTCCTCCTTTGCCGAGTCTGCCACTGACCCCAATTGGCAACGTGCTATGACTGAGGAGCTTCAAGCTTTACATGCTAATGGTACTTGGACTTTAACTTCCTTGCCCCCTGGCAAAATTCCCATTGGTTGTAAGTGGGTGTACAAACTCAAGCACAATTCCGACGACTCTATTGACCGCTACAAAGCTCGTTTGGTTGCTAAAGGCTTCACTCAGGCTGAAGGTATTGATTATCATGACACTTTTTCTCCTACTGCTAAGATGATTACGGTGCGTTGTCTTCTTGCTCTTGCTGCTAGTCAGTCTTTGTCTCTTCATCAGCTTGATGTTAATAATGCTTTCTTACATGGTGACTTACATGAAGAAATCTATATGTCTCCTCCTCCTGGTCTTCGGCGACAGGGGGAGAATCTTGTGTGTCGCCTTCACAAGTCACTTTATGGTCTTAAGCAGGCTTCTCGCCAATGGTTTGCCAAATTCACTAGTGCCATCATTTCTGCCGGTTTTCAACAATCCAAAGCTGACTATTCATTGTTCACTAAAAAGTCTGGTATTTCTTTCACAGCTTTGCTCATTTATGTGGATGATATTGTGATTACAGGCAATGATGCTAGTGCCATTAATTCTCTGAAGTCTTTTCTCCGTGATCATTTTCGGATAAAAGACCTTGGTGATTTAAAATATTTTTTGGGTATTGAGGTTTCTCGTTCCAAACAAGGGATTTATATTTCTCAACGCAAGTATGCATTAGAGATTCTCAAGGACTATGGTTTTTTGGGAGCACGACCCATTGCTTTTCCTATGGATGACACAAAATTATCTGAAAAATGAGAACTTCTCAAGGATCCTGAAAAGTATCGACGATTAGTAGGTTGGTTAATATATCTCACTATCACTCGGCCGGATATCACCTATTCTGTGCATGTTCTAAGCCGTTTTATGCACGAGCCAAGGATATCTCATATGGATGCTGCGCTTCGTATTGTTCGTTATTTGAAGGCTACTCCAGGTCAAGGTTTATTATTTCGTTCTGACAACCAGATCAAGTTAACTGCGTTTTGTGATTCTGATTGGGCAGGTTGCCCTATCACTCGCCGTTCGACTACTGGGTATTGTGTATTCTTGGGCGGTTCTTTGATTTCTTGGCGGACGAAACGACAGAAAACCGTTTCGCTCTCTTCAGCAGAGGCGGAATATAGGGCCATGGCAGGTGCTTGTTGCGAGATAGTTTGGCTTCGTTTTTTGTTGAAGGATTTGAACATTTCTTTGGATGGTCCTTCCATTTTATTTTGTGATAATCAAGCAGCGTTACATATAGTTGCCAATCCTGTTTTTCATGAACGAACTCGTCACATTGAGATGGATTGTCACTTTATACGAGATAAGATTGTAGATGGCACAATAGAGACCAAGCATGTGGGTACGGCACAACAGTTGGCAGACTTGTTTACCAAACCTCTTAGGAAAGAAAAGTTTTCGGGTATGTTACGCAAGTTGGGAGTTCTTGACATCCACTCTCCAACTTGAGGGGGAGTGTTAGACAAATAAGGAATATGGTTGGAGTCCTTGTGTAATTGTATATAATATTATTATTGGAAGAATAAGCCGTCCTACAGCCGTCAAGCCGTCCTACAGCCGTCAAGCCGTCCTACAGCCGTCAAGCCGTCCTACAGCTGTCCTACCTTGTCCTACCTACACACTAGCCGTCCTACAGCCGTCCTACCTTGTCCTACCTACACACTAGGACGGCTACCTTGTCCTACCTACACATTTGTATCATGTATATATATCCTTGTAATCTTGTAGAGAAAGATAATGAAAAAATAAGCATTCTCTTCCATTTGCATTCTCTTCCATAAGCATTCTCTTCTCTCCATTTTTCCACATTCATGTATCAATAACAAATATAATTTTTAGCCTACATACCTTTTTCTACAAGTCCGGCTTCACGCTTGTTCCGTTTGCCGCGATTCAGCCGTTACATCGTTATTATCGTGGGAAGATGCTCGGTTGGCCTAGCTCACATACTATGTTACTTCTCTAATGTTGTTTGCATAACAGCCTATGGGCCCTGGCTGATATGTTGGCTAAGGAGTCGAAGGTCAGGTGGGGTAATTGGATAGGTTATATCCTTATCCCCTTCACCATTGCTCTACAAGATGACCCGTTGGATTACGTTCGCGGAGCCAAGGCTGTTGTTGATCGAAAACAACCCTCCCTCGAAGCTTTCTTTGTGATCGTAACCAAAATAATAGGAGCTAAGATACCAACACTCCCTCCATTTCATCCAACATATTTTCGATTTGAGGGAGCGAAAACTAGAATATCTTATATATCGCACACATAATTCTCCTTGATCACAAAGTTGTCTCTGAAAATTTACCAAGTCAACTACAATTCAAAGAAAACCATGAACAACTGCTTCTGTTTTGGACTTGTTTATGTTCAATAATGTTGCTTCTTATGCTGCAGGCATTGCATATGCATTGGCAAATCTACGGGGATGAAATGATAATTTCCTTAAAACCGTTGATCCAAACGCAATACCTGATCCTGAGAAGCTGTTGGACGATTTAGAGGAATCGCTTAAACTCATTTGTCACGCTGTCGTGGAAAGAGGGCTCACTGCGGAAGTTGTCTAGCGCGAACGGTGGCGTGCAGTTTACTGTGACTAGAGAGTAGAATCAGCAGAGGATCTAAGCTTTCTGATATGCGCATGGTTATTGCCTTTCTGGAGGTGTTTGTGGACACAAGTGCAAACACAGCTCAAACAGCTGCATGGGAAATGTGATTCTCCTTGCTTTTGCACGCCAGGTAGTCGGCTCAACTCAGGTGCGATGTTTTTCTTTTAGTTAGTTGATTGTGCATTCATTCTCGTGTTATCGTTGATCGCTTAGAATACCGTCACTGTAATATCCCAGTTGCTTGGAAGTGTTTTGTCTTCTTTTTGTTGTATGCTTTGGTTGAATGTAGTGAAGGAGAGCTTCTCTCTGTTATATACAAAACCATTACACAGTGAAATGAAACCTAAATTTCTCACTTTTACTTGAGTATTATGGGATTTGAACTGCTTCTATAAGAAGCACTTATAAGTGTTTTTTTTCTTTCTAGAAGTGCTTCTAAAATAAGCATTTGGAAAAGTTTCTTCAAAACGTACTTCTATAAATGTCAAAGAGTTTAATATTTACTTTAAAATTAGAGGCATAATAATAATTCAATTCCAATTTAATTTACACTCACTTTCCCTCCAACTTCATACTTTTTCTTATTTTAATGAATCGAATTAGAATTCTAATTGACGTTAGAAAATAGTCATTCCGTACTTATTCACCTTAATTCTTTCCTAAAAATGGTTTCCTATACGGTTTTTTGATAAACTATTATGAACACACCAACTGCAACAAATAAAAACTAAAAATTAAAATTTGGTAAGTTAGTATTGAGTAAGAACATAATGGTAAACAATACCACCGTGAACTTCTATGTTTAAGATATATTTAATGATATATTTGACTGCATTATAATAAAAATAGAAAGTCTAATGATTACCTTTCATAATTTTTGAATAAATCATACACGACACACCGCTAAACGAAATTAACGTTGTCACATGAAGCTCATCTGAGTCATACTGAAACGAATAAATCTGTTAAGTTGAGGGGTGTCGCCGTTTTAATAGGTCATTTACTTTTTACTAATTTATTTACTTTCCCACTTTCCTTTTTTGGGTGTTGTGTAAGAACGAGTTCATAGAAAGACCAAGCCAAAGCCCAAAAAAGACTTTCCGGACCCGGATCCGATGAACTCGTCAAGGGTATTATCGTCATAAAAGGAACACTATAAATACCTACACACTCGAAAATTCGAAATCGAAAGACTCCGCTTAAAGTCTCAAATTTTGATCGAATCCATGGCGATAATCTCTGACATTCAGGAAGAGCAAAGGGCGCCCGAGAGGAAGCCTTCGAAGGCGTCGCCGTCGTCGAAAGAGTATACCTTCACCGCGAAGATTGATCGCAGGAACCCCCTTGATTTAGTGGAGAAGACGTTGGAATTTATTGCTCGGGAGAGCGATTTCTTCAAGAGGGAGTCGTCGGAGAGGGAGGTCTTTGCGCTGGCGCGCCGCTTCAGGGATAAGGAGAGGAAGAAGGAGGAGGAGGAGAGGAAGAAGAGGAGGCAGGAGGAGGAAGAGAGGAGGAAGAAGGAGGAGGCGGAGAAGAGGGCGGAGGCGGAGCTGAGGGGGGAAGGTGATAAAGGATGAAACTGAGGAGGAGGAAAATGGCTTAAAAAGTATCAAATATTTTATCTTTTGCTTCATATTTGATTCGAATTCTACTTTCTTTGTGCATATAGTATGATATATCTTAAATTTCAATTCTTTTGTCCATAAATTCCTAAATTTTGCTCTTTGAGAGTAATTGGAAGGTGGGATAGTGTGTTTTTGTTATGTGAAAGATAAATTACTAACATAGTTTGAATATTTTAACCAATTCGACAGTGAGTTTTCGTGTAAACTTTGATATGATTGTTCATCAATGCCTGTTGGGATACAAGTGTTTTTGGATGTGTGTAATTTATAATCTTGCTTTCGCTATTTAACACTAATCTATGTGAACAGATCCAAACAAAGGGAATGGACTGGATTTGGAGAAGTACTCGTGGACGCAGAGCCTTCAGGAGATTAATGTCGTTGTCCATGTGCCGCCTGGAACTAAATCTAGCTTTGTTGTGTGCGAGATCAAGAAGAATCATCTGAAGGTTGGACTGAAGGGGCAGCCTCCGATCATTGATGTAAGTTTCATTTGGATGAGTTATCGACTTTTGTGATGAACATATTGTCTATGATTCAGTAGGGGAGTGTGAATGTAATCGAAAATAAGGAAGATGGTTGTTCATCTGACTGATCTGAGACAACGGATGCTTGTCCAGTAGACAATGCCTTTTGTTCTGCCAGTTTGTTTCGTTTAGATTGTAATATCCCTCGGCTAATGTAAACTTTAATACTTGCAGGGCGAACTTTTGCAGTCTATCAAGCCCGATGATTGTTACTGGAGCATAGGTATATTGATTGACACTGTTCAACTAATTACTTATCACTTGCTTATGTACATTGGAGCATAAATACACATTGAAATATATTTCACTTTTGTAAATAGTAAATAAATTCATAACTCATAATTACATTGTGAATTTTAAACACGTCGGAATGCCTGTAGGGTTCCATGGTTATGAGTTTCACTTCCACACACAGCTTTTAGGACGTAGTGTCTTTTAAGTGCGTGTATCATGTTTTTGTGATTTCCTAATTATAATCCATGGGTTTGAGCATCTGAGCTGTTTGAATTTGTAATATCCATGCTAATTGCAGAGGATCAGAGTGCTGTCTCAATTCTTCTGACCAAGCACAACCAAATGGAGTGGTGGAAGTGTCTGGTGAAAGGTGATCCTGAGATCGACACTCACAAGGTTGAGCCTGAGCCCAGCAAATTGTCTGAACTGGATTCTGAAATGCGCCGGACTGTTGAAAAGATGATGGTAATTCTCCCACTTCTGCCTTTTTCTGTATTTTGTTTTCACTGCTAATTGTTTTTAACCTAGGAACATCTGTGAAAGGCAGTTCACTCGCCATGATGTTTCCAAGTAGAGACTATCATTCATTGCTGTTTGGTCCTCCACGAGTTTATATGTTCACCATTCATGTTCACGTCGCTGCTATTTGTACGTTTTGATTATTCATAGTTACTGAGAGGTGTATGTTTTGATTTTACAGTTTGATCAGAGACAGAAGCAGTTGGGGCTCCCCACTAGCGAGGAGATTGAAAAAGAAGAAATGTTAAAGAAGCTCATGTCTGAGGTAATATCTTGAGGCTCTTCTAGGCCCTAGTCATTCAATCAAGAAATTTACTTACATTGTTTATATACCGTTCTGTTGCAGCATCCGGAGATGGATTTCTCAAGGGCCAAGAGAAAGTAAATCTGAGCTATTCGGTTCACGGACATTGTTTAATAACTTTGTATTCATTGATCAGAAGGGAGAGGATAAAAAACACATTTTCATTCAGCTACTGCTTAATGTTGAGTTCAAAAACAAATTGATGTCATCGGTGTGTGATCTTTTTACGGGTGGTTAGGACGTCCAATTTGTTTCGAACGCTGTTAATACTGTGGGATCTGTTTCATTTATTGATTCAAGTTTTAGTATAACTTTTTCTCCTGCACATTTTATCGTTCGAGTTTGGTTTGTTGCTTGAAGTGGTTTCTACTTTTTTCTTGTTTGCATCTCTAGCCCCGAAATAAGGCCTTCCGGTGACATTCGGAGCCCAACCCCAAACAATGAGGCTAAGACCGAACTATTTTGGGCCAAGCCTATTGGAGTTCAACTTAAAATACCATTAGTAAGGGTTTTGTAGTTCAAGCGGCCTATGTGGATTGTAACGTCTTGTGGCTGTATTTCGACCTAAATTCTAAATTTTTACACTTTGTGCTTGATTGGTTTGTGATACTATTACATTAGTGTTCGCTTAAAAGTTAAGTTTTTATATCGACGGTCATGTTTTGTTCTCTATTTGTGTCCATTAACTTGTACTTTCTTTGCAGTGACATCAAACCTAACTTTGCCATTTGGCATTGAAAACTTGCGGCGTATACACCTTAAAATTGGGGATAAAAGCTTACCTATAACGAGATATCAATGACTTTATCTCTAATTATTCACAATTATGAATCAACACTCTAACATTCTCATTGTAAGTAAACGAGCGAGAGACGTAGTCAAAATTGTTCGACCTAGTCCCACGCTCAATCATCCTTGGCTTGGGATGTGCACAGTTCAACCAGAGGGCACCACAAGCTGCCACGTGTCCATAAATGCCACCTGGGTCACTCTCGGCTGCCCCTTTCCATAAAAAGGTTGTGGGATCCCCCCACAAATTGTCCCGTTGTGAGGGAGGGAGGGAGGTCGCATAACCCTATAGCCCTAGAAAAGGACCCCTTTGTTTTATCCGCTATTCCAGAACAAACCCGAATCCCTTTTGGATTTGGGAGGGACACTCACTGACTCGCTCAGGATTTGTTCCTCGCAGCAATCACATTTAAATGATCCTCTCTCTCTGTAGCGTTGTGCATCTTTTCTTTGGACTACGATGCATGCTTTGTTCCGTCATCGTTTGACATGGTTTACGCGTTACTAGTTATCGAAAGAGTTAATCTCTCTGTCACTTAAAACCCTTAATTGCTAACCTGCGCCTTTGTTAATATCGAAAGATAGGCATTACAGATCGTGTTACAATTCTAAATTGGTTTAATTAGGGTTAATGCCACTATCATTTGGTTTATTATTATTCCCATTTGCAAACACAGGCTTTTGATTGTTTTGCTAGCTAGTGTGATGGCCGGGGCTAGTGGCAGTCGTTTTCGGCCGACTCTTTGTCTTAAAAGAATAAGAAAAAAGGGATTTAATTAAGTTGCCCAATCTTTGTTTAGTTTATGTGCGTTGGGATACGTTGAGGCTTCTTTCTTTAAGCTGCCCATATTTAACCCTTTTAGTTGAAAATTCAACATGATCCGAAAGCGATGCATTCTTCCTCTTCCAACAGTTTCGCAGGCAAGAGACAATCGATTTACTTCTACATTAATTAGCATTTAGACTAGTTTGGATGGTAGGGTTTTGGTCAATGAATCAAAGGGTGATGCTAGGGTATTAGAAACAGTTTCATGACTACAATTTATAGTCTGATCCGATCCTGGTTATTGAACTAACAGATACATTTTTGTGAAAGTAGCTAGCGAGGGCATCCTTTACTGCAAAGTTGCATACACATGTGAAGGAGAAAACAAGACTAGAAAGTTCATTATTTGTTTATGCGTTCAAACTAGTCTCGTTAAAACTCAAATAATTGTATATTTCGTCATAAAATTGGCTAGAAAAGAGCATTTCTTTAGGAGTCATTTAATAACCATTTCGTTTTCAATTTTCACTTTAAAAACTAAAATCCTGTTTGGTAACTACTTTCAAGTTTACGGTTTTCAAAAAATGAAAATTGAAACTGCTTTCTCGAGTATGCAAATTTTGGCCTTGAGTTTTTACTTTTTGGTTTTCAATTAAAAAAAAAATGAAAACTAAAAACGGAATGGTTATTTCAAACAACCTCTTAATAAAATAACATATTAGAGGAAAAGAAAACTCATATAACCTTTATTTTTTGTTTGAAAAATTGGATCATTATTTTTCAAATCCCAATTGCTAAAATAATTAGTTTTTCAATATGTCGTCAATATATGATGACCATCTTGTCCATCTTTGGTCGATATATATTGTCAATCTTTAATCGCTTTATCGTTAAATATTTGATCAATATTCAAACAATTGAAATTAACTTCTGATTATTTTAGCCTTTTTTTTTAAAGTCCAAAAACCATTTGTTCGATTACCTAAAAGAAAAGAAAAACCATTTTGTTCTTCTTCCAAAAACTCAAGTTATTTTCATACACGAACTGTTAGATATTCCACAAGTGGAACAAGACACATATAACTTTGCATAAGACTCCAAATGGCTCAATAATGCGAACTGACACCTTATCTCTCTCGATCGCAAAGGACAACATGTCAATGGGAGGGAATTAGGTCAAAACTACATATATATAGTTAATTTTCCAAACTCTCTTACATAATAACAATATGGCATGCATGTATCGATGGTAAATGATGTATTGCATTCCTTTGCATGCCTGGTTGTCATGGATCCAACGAAGGCCTACTGGGGATAAATGACCTCACTGAATTAATTTGTTTATTAAGCTGCATACTATAGTTATATATGTGCATTATCCTTGAAGAAGTTATGTCATTCAAATCGAAAAACTTCTCTTCCGCCTCTCATTTATTATGTTTTTCTCATCACTTTGCCACTTTCCATTACTACACTGAATTTTTTATAATATTGAAAAACGTGATACATCATCATTTGAAATCATTTTGCTATTATCTATTGGGTTTAAGTCATACTATAATAATGTTTTCTTAGTTGTTTTCCGGGTTGCTTTCACTAGAAGAAATTTCTTTTTCCGTCTTTGCTTGGTTGTTAGGTTTTAGTATCTTCTTCTGAAAGTGGGATGGTCACGAACCCTATTAGGGTTGTTTTTATATGCAGTATAAAGGAACTTGTACTGCAAATAATTCGAGTAAGACAACGTGTTCTACACAATGGAATGGTGCTACTTTTTCTGAAAGTGAGGAGGTACTCTGAATTGTAACCTAAATTGAAACCCATTATTGGTGACAGTGATATGAACTGATCACACATACAGTTTCTAAAAATTTGATCAAAAGATTCAAAACTCACTAAAACCTTATAATGCTTCAAAGTATCTTATACATAATTATGAAAAATTATAGATGTAATCGGGATCGATACATATCTCCAAATGAGTGTTTCACTGATCGAGTGAAATATGGAATCTCTCCCGAAAACTATTAACTACATGTCTGCAAAAGTGGGTCCTAGCTTCCAATGTTTAAAGGGCTTTACAGTATGGACATAATTACAAAAGCAATATGAAACTGAATATTATATGCAGGATGTAACCCTCGCCAACCAGACGACCTTGACATGTTGGTAACTGAGCACCACAAATATGTATACTAGGAAATAATAAAGTCAAATGAGCGGGAATATGCATAATTTCCTCTAATTTGGAATGATTTTCTGAGTGTGGAACTGGACAGATTTAATTATCTTCCAAGTTATACTATGCACTTTAGCTTAATTTTTTATTAGCAAGAAAAAAATAAATATAATACTTGCATTCTCTCTTGGGGACGAGTTCATTCTTCTTTACGAATAACGTATTGACCGTACAAATTTCATAATTGGAACTCTTCAATTTCTTAATCTTTATTTGAAGATCACTCCTATAAAAAATTATTTCGATCATTGAAGTGTACAGAGCAACGATGTAGGTACCAAGTAACATATTCATGATGACTCGTTCATATACACCGTTCATTTACTTGATATGTTTAGATGATAAAACGATCTCATATTTAAATGATTTTTTGTAAGAGTCACATTCAAACGAAGATTGATAAATTGAACAATTCCAATCGTTGAGTTTATTCAATTAAAATACGTTATACACAAATCGAGAAGATATGTGCTTCCCCACATGAAGGATGCAAATATTATTCGAAAAGAAAACTTATGAAAGTGACCGTACCTCTACCACATCTTCCAAAATTTGAGATATATAATTAATTCAACATAATAAAGGTCACATTTACTAGTGCATCTCCCCTGGCTTTTTGCCCTTTCAGATCGTCCCTCCTTCTCAATGCCCTAGCATCCATGATCCATCCAAGGCATTCTACGTACTAATCGTGCTGGAAAATTTTGAGAAAAGGATGCGTGAACACAAATATACAATGGTAGCTAGGGATGAGACTTAAAAAGAAAATCCAATTAATAATTAGCGAGTAAAAAAGAAAAAATTCAAATGAACGTACCATTGCAAGTTAATTAATTTTAAGTGCAATTGGAAAAGAGTGTTTGTTTTCAACGAGCGGAAACCAAACAAAATTACATGATAAAATGATATGTCCAAAGCAAAAAAACATATATGATAAGTACATATCTCTTAACTTTGTTTTTCCACTGACTCACTTATGCTTGTATTGGACGATGGTCCTATCACTTGCCGTATTATGACCAATTCCAAATTACTAATATTGCACATTGACGTAGACATTTAAGAAAATTGAAAAGTTAGTATTGTATACAACTCTTAAACTAGCTAGCTAGTAGTATATATTGAGAAAATCTTGAATGTCGGTACGAATACCTTCATCATACGGATTCTTGTCGTTGAATACTTGAATTATGTTTCCTTATACTATAGGTCAACTCAATTGTAATTGTAATTTAGATTCCTGCCACATATAGGTCATGTAATATCCTATATCATTTAGGAAGGTTTAACAAAACATTCCGGTATTGTTTACTTTTAACGAAAAACCACATTTATACATTTATTTGGTACTATTCACTCTACCTTTAAAAAAGACTTTCCATTAAAATGAAAGTTTTTTTGGACTTTTCGTAATTTTCTTTATAATTTAAACATTGTACGCTCAATCCAGAAATAATATTTCTACATGGTATCCGCCTACTAGGTTCTAGGGTTTGTCTCACCAACGCCTTCAAATCCTTTCTCGGTTTAGTTCCCTTT